CCTGGAATGCGTTCGGACCAGGATTTCGAGGCGACTCCGGCGGAGGCGACGAGGTTCTCCCAGGAGGCCGAACAAGGGGAGAACGGCCGAAGGGTAGCGGCATGGGTAACTGTTCCCCCTATGACCCCCGCCGTTGCCCCCGAAAAATGGCCCTTGCCCAAACGCCCCCCACCGGACCGCATCCAGCCCGGGCCGCTTTCCCTGCCAGCCCGCGCGCGCAGCTTCCCGATCAGGTAACGGCACGTCCCGGGCACACCTGTTCATGGAGCAAGCGCGTGCAGCTGCTGTCCCGGCAAATACTGCGGAACAACCTGCTCCGGTTCGAGTTTGGCTCCCGGTTGAGTGTTGGCGAACACCACGCTCCAGGCAAACTTTCTCGAGAGAGCCGTGTTTCACGAGTCCACCGTCCACATCGAAGACTGACCACCGTGTATTTGTGTCGAGCTCTACGCGCCCGTTGCGCATGCTACGATATGGCGGTGGGAGCTTGCCACCGACCACCTCGCCTATGGCAATCCCAAATGTCTCCTCGCAGCCGTAACGACTCTCGATCCCTGTGCGGATGAGGAACAGGAAGCGGCGCGAGCGGTTGAAGCCCAGGAGTGAACCCTGTCCAGGAAAGAGTGTGCTGCGATAAATGGGGCCCAAATGCCTGCTGATCGGGTTCCTGGACCGTTCAACTCCCACATTCGATATGTCCTCCCGTGTCGACAGGCGTGTCTGCTGCTGGCGGCTATGGGGTATGCTTTTTCCGAAAGCCAGATCGAGCAGGTGATTCACACACCAGCCAAAGCAGAATCCCCTTCAGAAGAGAGCATCTCCAGCCCCTGGCATATGAGGGAACGGTCCGTGCAGATTTCTTGGCTCTGCGTTGGACCCCCTCCCTGGCGCGCTCCTCCGCGCGCCACGGACGGCGCCAGAGGAACCGCCAAGGGGACCAGGCGCGGATCCAATCAATCCGCGTGGAGCTCCGAAAAGTCCACGCTTATGCAAGTTTTCTCTTTCGAGGAAGCTCTCCCACGAGCTACGCGGTACTGAAGGGGCCCGGGGACACAAATGAACGGACATAGATCCCAGCATTGCCAATAGTTGACCGCATGTTCTCGATGTTCATCTTCCTCTCCATTTCCATCGTTTCTCATATACTTGTAGGAACCGACGAGCATGTCTGTCTCTACTTCTCCCTCCTGCGATGCATTGCCCTGCCGTTTTTGCGTTTCTGTGGAGACGTCGGTCGCGCCGGAGGGACTTGAGCAGGTGCCCGTGGGTGGCGAGAGGCCCAAGAGCAGGAGGCCCCCAGGACGCCCCAAGAGGGATCGAGAGGGCTCCGCGGGACGCGCCGACAGGGGCCCAAGAGGCGAAAAACAGTGATTCCCCCGTAGGCTCGTGAAGATTTTATGACATGTTTTTGCCTCTCTGGGCGTCCGGCGCCCCCAGGACGGCCAACGAGCACCCCAAACTCGCCCCGAGAGACCTCCAAGCGGCCCCCAAGAGGGCCTCAAGACGGCCCAAGAGAGCCCCCACACGGCCCAAGAGGCCCCGAAAGCCGCCCAAGCGGGCTACACCAGGGGCCCACGATGGGCGAAGGGAAACACGAATTGACATTTCGAGCCTGCCGCCCCACGATGACCCCCGAGACCGCCAGCAGGCCCTCAAGAGGCCCCCGAGAAGCCCCAGGAGGCCCCCAAGAGGACAAAAAGAGGCCCTAAGACGCCTGCAAGATGCGCCGAGACACCCCAAAGCGCTAGATAGGCTCAAATGTGCTCGAATCTCGGCACCAGCCGGCATCGTGCAAGAGCCAGGTACGCATGGTAGGTGCGACCAGCCATGGAAAAACCATACGCCCTTGAAAGGGTTTGATGAGAATGGGTGCTAGCAGACCAATCCGAAGAACTGGCACCAATGAGATGTGTCGTGTGATGGCCCAGACCAACACTGGACCATCTAGTTAATGGCCTGCACGACTTTGCCGTGGACGATCTCGATGCGACGGAACTCCAAGTCGGCTTAGACGCACTTGTTCAGCCTCTCGACCCCTATCAATCAGCATCTGCGAGTGAAAATATTGCGAGTGACTCTGTGGAATATAGCTTCTAACTATGCATGCGAGCGAGATGATCGGCTTAACCTCTCAATTCGAGCTGCACCTGCCCGTCTTGTTCTGCCCCCTCTCCTCGAGGCATTCTGCCTCAGAGAAGGAGTCTTCAAGGCCGCTCGAGGCGAGCGCGGCCTCACAGGACATGCCGCCACCGACTTTCCCCCATGCGCAGCTTCGACTGGCGCCAAAGATCCTGGCGCAGATCACGGCCCGCCGCGAGGCCGCCCGCTACAAGAGGACGCAGCGTGAAGCAATGCCGCACACCGACGCTCCTCTTGTTGCAAGGAGTGGGCCGGGTCCTCCTTCTGTCGGGGCCGCACGTGTGTACACCAATGTGCGAGGACCCTCGCCCGAAACGTAGCGCACATACTTCATTCGTTGAAACGTCTCACGATCGCGAGCCTGCCCCGAAGAATGTCCACCATGCTGTGCTCGGTGGGGGGTGCGAACATGGTTTCATGGTCTTGTCCCCGCCCCCGATTCTACAGACTGGCGATGAGCTGTCGGAGTTCCCCCGGCCTCCCGTCCCATCACATCCCCCCGTACGCCATCAGTTCCTTTCCCTCCTGCTCCCGCCCACTTCGCCGCTGGAGTCCATGCCTTTGCCACACTGGCAATGAATATGTCTGTACACGTGCCTAGACGATTGAAATCGCGCGCCCGCGCCAGGCCCGCCAGAAGCCAAGAGTACCCATGAGATCGACATCCCACGAGGGTGACCTCGAGGAGGGGGGCAAGAAGGGGAGCAGGAGGAACACGAGGTGGGAGGAGGAAAGCTCGCGTGCCAGGCACCGAGCGAGGGATGGCCGGAGGTCGTGACGCCGCGGGGGTCTCGACGACCTGGGCACCCCTGGCTTCCGGACCTGAACTGGTGCCACACACTCACGATCCCTTCCCCCCCCCTCTCCCCCTCTCCCTCTGTCGGGGGGCAGCGACGACAATGGCAGCTCTCTCGCCCAGCCCAAACTCGCGGCACAAATCCACCCCAAAGCTGTCCCTGGACCCCTGCTGGGGTCCATCCTGACGCGTTTTCCGACGCGGATCCAGCCGCAGCCCCGGCAACGAGAGGCCTGCAGAATCCCAAAAAAGAACGAGCAACGCCATGGAGTGCTGGCCGTTGTCTCAACTGGGCCTCCTCCGACGTTCCCCCTCCCCCATGCTCTAGAACCCCGCTCTGTTGAACAGAAATGCTGAAGAAGACTCAGGTATGGCTGAACCAGCTTTTGCACGGGTTCCATAAAAAGACTCCCTCAGCTCGAGCGCCAATGTCGCCACTAGGCCCGCGGCCAACTGAATTTCAAGTTCAATCGTCTGGTAGTGTGATCACCACGGGGTCTCCTGCTAACAAGAGCGGCGCACGGCACAACAAAACACCGCGAAGGCCGTGCAACCTAGCACTGTCCGCGGCATTTCGATCGCCTGATCGTTCCACAATGGTCGACTCCAAATCCACCGGCGGCGTTCATCCGTGAACGCCCGCGGCGAGGAGGAGGAGGAGGAGGAGGAGGAGGAGGAGGAGGAGGAGGAGGAGGAGGAGGAGGAGGAGGAGGAGGAGGAGGAGGAGGAGGAGGAGGAGGAGGAGGGGGGGGAGGAGGCCGCCGCAGCGACACGACGCGAACCCGCCAACCCCCCCCGCCTGCCGGCCACCCTCCCGTCCACCCTCGGCGGTGGACAACCCTCCCTTTCGTCAACCACCCTCCAGTAAAAACGGCCCGGGACCGAAACCGACGGACCTGGACCCGCAAAAACGACGGCCGCGACGCCCTCTCGCGAACCAAGAACGGCCGATTCGCAGATCGGCGCGTCAGGGCAGGAGGTCTATATCAACCTCCGACCCCCCCCCCAGTGTCCGGCGCACGATAACGTGGAGACTGCGGATCCGTGGATTCGGCTCGCGGGCGCCGACGCAAGAAAGCCGCGCGGACCTCAAGCACTCTCCCCTCGCCCCTCTTCCTCCTCCTCCTCCTCCTCCTCCTCCTCCTCCTCCTCCTCCCGATCCCCCTGCCCCTCCTCCTCTTCCTCCACCTCCTCCTCCTCCCCCTCCCCATCCACCTCCCCTTCCTTCTCCTCCGGTTCAAAGATGGAGGAGCACCGAGGAACGGGACCCCCAGGGCAGGAAAGGGACGCCGAGGCGAACCCTCCCCGACTGAGGTCTCTCGTCCCCAAGGCCTCATCCCCTGGGGGCCCAATCTCTGAACCGCCGATCCGCGTCCCGCCCACCTGCACTCGCAGCAGCGAGTCCCCACCCTCTGGAAACCCGAAAGGACCAAGAAGGCTATTCCCTGGACCTGTCCCGGGGTGCGTTCTGACCGGAATTCCGAGGCGAATCCAGCCGTGCCGACGAGGGGTGACTTTTTGTTGTTCTTTCCCAAATGACGGTCGCTACCGAGGGAAGGGGGGGGGGTCGGGCGGGAGGGTAGCGGTAACGGCGGCCGCGGCGTGCACCCGCCAGGGTGCGTCCGCGCCACCGGCGCATCAGTCGCCTGTGCGCACCACGGGATGTAAAGGGGGGGTCCAGCCCCCCCCCCAATACGATCGTTGGCGTTACCCGGGAGAGTGGGGGGGGGAGGTTGGCCTGGGTAGCGAGCGTAACCCTGGGAAAAAAAAACATGCCCACGGGCCCCCCGGGAGGGCGGAAAAGGGGAAGACGGACGAAAGGCAATGGGGAACCACATTCGGCCGCCACATCACCCGTTTCGGAACACCCCTCACACGTGTTTCGTGGTCCCCTAGGGGGCTCCACTTAAGGCACCATATGGGGGGTGGTGCGGCCGCACACCCCTCACGCGTTTCGTGGCCCCATGGGGAGCTCCACATAACCCCCAATGGGGTGTAATTACGTGCTCCTCCTCCTCCGACGCGCAGGAGAAACACGGGCAGGGCCGCGGCCAGGACCCGCACGTCACGCGCGCCCGCCCGACTGCTGCCACCAGGCTCCGGCGGTCCTCGGGGGGCACTCGGGAGCGCGCGCGCGCGGGGTCGGAGCGTGAGGAGGACGCCATCGGCGCCACGAGAGCGTCGAGACGGCGCCCGCCGAAGGGCCGGGGGGGCGGAGTGAGCACAGCTGCCCTCCCCCGCGGCCCGCCAGACCGAGTACAGCTTCCCCCGGTCAGCTCCGACGCCGTGGCCAAGATGGCGCGGGGAAGGTCGAGGGGGGGAGCGGGGAGGGGGGGGCGGGGAGGGAGGAGGGAGGGCAGGCCGGGGCAGCCAGGCCAGGCCCGAATCGGCGAGGACAACGCGCGGTCGGGTGACGGTGCCCCCCCCCCGTCGTGGTCGATCCCGCCCTGTCGTTGCCCTCGGGTTGCCCTCGGGCGTGGACGACCCCCGGCTCAGCGCAAACCAAGCTCAACCGACTTAGAAGAACTGCGCCACAAATGTTCGAGGGGCTTGCCAAACGCGGCTGAACCAGGATGTCAAGCCACATCCAGGACCGCGAGGGGCTCCCAAACCAGGGTCAGCCAAAATCTGGCTCTCCAACATCCTGCCGGATGGAGCGCTCTGGCTGAGCCGCGTTGCTCTGAACCCTGTCACCTGCCACTGCCCTTGTGGGGCATTGCTTCATGGGGGGTGATAGCTGAAGAGGGCGAAGACACGTGCACCTTTCGTGTCCCTTGTGGGCCCCAGGGGGGCCTCTTTTGGGAGCAAACGGTGTACTGTCTCCTTCGCCCCCTCACTTCTCTAGGGGAACACAGAGCGGCATAAACACTAAGTTCTTTGGAGGTCCGCGCGGATCTCCTGGATCGGCGCTGGACCCCCCGCCCCTGCGCGCGCGAGCGCGCCAGGGGAGGCGCCGGAGGCGCCGCCATATGAGAGCCCCAAACGCCGATCGAGGAAATCCGCGCGAAGCTCCGAAATGTTATGTTTATGCCGTGCTCTGTTCTTCGATGATCGCCCCCCTCCAATTACGCGACACACAAATAAATACACACAAATAACAGGATTCCCAATATTTTCCCATAGTTTCTGGGGTTCTGTCTTCCCCCCCACTGCCCATATTTTCCCATATTTTCGCGGGAATCGACGATTAATTGTGTCAATGAGTTTTTTCTGCTCCTGACAATTACGCAACGCCCTATGCGACACCCCAGGTCTGCGCCGGGTCCTCGGCCCCGGCGGCGGCGTGATCGGCGCGGTGGCCACTGGGCCCGCCTCGCGCGTGGCGCGCTCGGCGCGGCCGCTGCACCCCCCCCCCCGCCCCCCGGCTCCTCGCCATTCCAGCTTTGGGAGGCGGACGTCTGCACAGGTCCACCTCCTTCCTCCAGGGGTTCAAATTCAGGGGCGCCCGACGGACGCGTAGAGAGAGGGAGAGAGGAGGTAGAGAGACATAGGAAGAAAAACTGAACGTACGAAGCCAACGTTGAGAAATTGCTCGGAACAATAAGTGACTGGGGAGTGAAGTCGTTCGCCCCCTCGTCGTCCTCCCCTCCCCCCTCCTCCTCTGACTGTCTTCCTCCGTCTCCGGGGAGCGGGAGGGGGAGGAGCGCGAGGTGGAGCTGTGTAGCCCTCCTCCTCCTCCGAAGCGTGCAACGTTCTTCGCCTCCTGGAGGGCCGAGGCCCCGTCCAGAGCGGGTGCCCGCATGCCCGCAGGAGTATGACTAGGAAGGAGGAGGAGGGGGAGGAGGCGGAGGAGGAGGAGGGGGAGGAGGCGGAGGAGGAGGAGGAGGAGGAGGAGGAGGAGGAAGAGGAGGAGCGCGAGGTGGAGCTGTGTAGCCCTCTTCCTCCTCCTCCTCCGAAGCGTGCTGCGTGCTCCGCCCCCTGGAGGGCCGGGGCCCTGTCCGGAGCGGGTGCCCGCGTGCCCGCAGGAGTACGACTAGTAGTGTGAAGTCGGGCCTGTCCCCCTGCAGGCGAAAAAATTCAAATACCACAAAAAAATACCTTAGAAAATGCTCACACATGGTCAAACACAGTCTCCAGACTATAATTTTGACTATTTTTGGATATTCGCCCTGTAGAGGGACGGGCCCGACTTAATACTAGTGCTTTTTGGTCCAAGGCGCCAGCGTTCGCACGGAGCGGGGGGTGGTCGAGGTCGGGAAGCGAAGAGGCAAGACGCGAGGAGACAAGCGAGCACCGCGGAGGAAGACGGCAACTGAGAAGCGACAAGAAAGCCACTAATCCTTCGGGAGGGGACCTAAGTTAGGAGGGCCAGAAACATGAGGGGTAGGGGGTCTTTTTTGCAGATGTCTCTGACGAAACCGCCCACACGTTCGGGAATAGCCCTACAACAGAGGACCTAAGTTAGGCCACGAATTCATTGTGTTCTGGTTAAGGGCTGCATTATGCTTAGTGAGGAAAGAAGAGGGTGGCCAGAGAGAGGGGACTATGGGCAAGCTGGGCACTCAGGAAAGGCGCGGGTGTAGCAGCCCAGGCTCCGGGTCGGAGGAGTTGAACTACGCGTTGTCCTGACGTTGTTGGCCGCTGGGCATGTCTGGACAACTTCAGGCATGCGTCTTTCTCTCATGGTTCTCGTTGCGCTGCGCGTGTGTGTGTGTGTGTGGTCCGTGTGTGTGTGTGTGTGTGTGTCTGTGTGTGTGTGTCTGTGTGTGTGTGTGTGCCTGTGTGCCTGTGTCTGTGTGCCTGTGTCTGTGTGTGTCCGTGTGTCTGTGTGTGTATGTCTCTGTGTGTCTGTGTGTGTCGGTGTGTGTGTGTGTGCGTAGGGGGGGCGGTGGGTGAAGAGCCTGTCCAGCAACTGGAGCTCGACGAGACCCCGAGGCTCGCGGGCCAAGCCAGCAAAATGGCAACACTCTTGCGATCATCATCGCCGCCTCCGCCTCTCAGAGGTGACGGCGAGAAGACAAGATGGCACAGATCTCAGATCGGGGACGGAGCGGCCCAGGTCAGCGCCAACTCGGGTTAGGTCGGGCATGTCCCCCTACAGGCAGTCTCTGAAGACAATTTCTTCAACATACCCCATAAAAATACCCCAACATGATAGACAAATAATCCAAACATCGTCCCCTGACTATTTCTTGAGAGAGAATATTCCCCCTGTAGAGAGACACGCCCGGCTCCCAACTCGGGTCCGCCGTGCCCGCGTCCCGCACCCCGGCCGGCCACGGCACAGCTCCCGGACCCGGGTCCACGGAGGGCGGGGGCTGGCGCGCCCGAAGCGGGGAGCAGTGCCCAGCAGCGAGTGTTGCCCAAACCCGGCAGCGGCCGCTGTTGGGCAGGCGACTGTGTGTGTCAAATGGACCATGTCTGCCGCGGCACGGACAACGATGCTGTTCAAAATGCACGGGAACTGCTGCCGCTCTTCCTCCCTCTTCTTTCCGTATCCATTCCGATCTGACCTGGGGGATGAATCAGGGGCGTGCAAGAGGGGGGCGTCCAAGACGGGGGACAAATCATGGCCGGTGGCATGTGCGCGGCCCTTGAAATCCCCCCCCTCTTTTCCCCTAGTCATCACCCCCTAGTCCCCCTAGTCACCACCCCTCGTCATCACCCCTCCCTTGGCCGCCCCCGATGGAGGGTGGGCGCAACATGGCCCCACCGAACGGGAGGCCTCTGGATGTGATTGTCTGGCCTCCGCCACGACTGATGCCCGCTACCTGCGCCCTGGGCCGCGAAAATACCTGGGGACCTCAGAGAGACGGCAGGGCTAGAAGATGCCTCGGGCGCCGCCGCCGATCCAGGGAGCACTGGAGCCCTCTGGGGCTCCAGCCTGGTGCGACACATGACTTCCCCTGGCCTTCCTGGCCCCATCCTCCTCCCCCATCCACGTCTTCGCCCCCCTCATCGGCCCACCTGATATCTGTTTCGGGGATGCCCCTCCCGTTCCCCCTGCCCTTCCCATCCTCCATCACCCTTCCCGCTTGCGTCGTCGGCCTCCTCCAAATCAGTTGCATCTAACCCCCTGCTCCAACACCTCTCCCTTCTCCCGACTGCACTCCTCTCCCCCCTCCCACGTCGTCGATCACCCTTCTCCAGATCCTCTTCCATCATCTCTTCCTTCTCCTCCTTCCTCCTCTCTTTTCCGATGGGGTCCCCTCCCCCTTCCCCCTGATCCCTGTCGGGTTTTCCTCCCATTTGCCGCCCTCCTCCTCCTCCTCCTCCTCCTCCTCGTCCTCCTCGATCTCCTCCTGCTCCTCCTCCTCCTCCTGCTCCTCCTCCTCATAGTCATCGCTATCGTCATCGTCATCATCATCGTCATCAACGTCATCAACGTCATCACCATCCTCATCATCATCATCATCATGATCATCATCATCATCATCATCATCATCATCATCATCATCATTATCATCTTCATAATCATCATCAGCATCGTCATCGTCATCAACACCAACATCATCATCATCATCAACAACATCATCAACATCATCATCATCACCATCATCATCATCCTCATCCTCACCGTCTTGCCTCTCCTTCTCATCCTTTTCCTCAGCATCATCATCATCATCACCATCATCTTCATCACCATCATCCTCATCAGCATCATCAGCATCATCAGATGATGATCATCATCATCATCATCATCATCATCATCATCATGATCAGCAGCATCAGCATCAGCATCAGCATCAGCATCATCATCATCATCATCATCATGATCATCATCGACATCATCATCATCATCATCATTATCATCATCATCATCATCATCATCATCATCATCATCATCATCATCATCATTATCATTATCATGGTTTCCTTCCTTGCGCGGCGAGCGGCCTTGAGCGGCGTCGTCCAGGGATCGCCCTGCCCCCGAACGCCCCCCTGTCCATGTTCATCCAACATCTGTAATCTCTGCTCTGCTGCTCCCTACTGTCTCTGCTTGTCGGCGCCCCGCTGCCCCGTTCCTGTGAGAAAACAATACGGCCAAAACGCCACTGCCCGGACCTCATCTGGGGTGCGCCATGTTCAGGGTTCTGAGGCGGATCCGGCACTGGCGACGATGGCCCCAAAGAGTCCTTGAACAGGCGCAAGCGAAGGGTAAGAATCGGCATCCGCACGCCAAGTTGACGCCGCGATGGAGCCGGTGTCGCCTTCGATGTCCCTTCGTGGATAGTTCAACCCGTGAACGGTGTCGATTCTTCAGTCGTGCAGATCGGTCGATATCGGCCGATTCTGGGTCACTGGCGACGATCACATCCCTCACGCACGTCGCACCCCATGGACCCCGAAAGGACCTTAGCTGGCCTCCAAGACCGCCCGATTCCCCCAGGGGCGCGGATGCGCCTCCAAAAAACGTTGAAACGATCTGTGCCGGCCCTCGTCAAGGCAACATCCCGAACACCCACTGATTGCAACCTCTGCGTGTGAACTTCCCCCGGGGGCTTGCCGTGACTCCGCAGTGCGGGATCAATTCGGCGGACTCCCCTGAGGGCCCTGGACGTGTTGTAAGCTCCAAGGACAGATGATGAAATGATGACGGAATGGAATGGAGTGAGACGGGCTTCGCGAATTCCGACGGTAAACTTGTGCTGCATTATGCCAGGATCCATGCTCATACCGTCAAAAGAACACACGCCTCACGCATGCCCTGCCGCATATCTTCCGGGCACACGTAAACATGCGAATGAGCTGCGCTTCTGGGCTCCTGGGGCACGTGAAATCAGCCGCCCTCGTCGGCGTGTGTGAGAGGCGCTTCGACGCGAGGCCAGCACAACCCAAACTGAAGTACACCAGCTTCCTTTGACTCGTCGTCGTCGTAAGGGAGATCGAACAAATCCGCCGACCATTCGGCGTATGTGAAACCTTGTCATCGTCGTCGTCGTTCAGCCCCCCCAAAAAAAGGAACGAACAGAGAAACGAAACGTCGTAGTTAAATCGATTCCCTTCCATTTTTTCTCTTCGCTGACTAGGGGGGGAGTTACGTCATATTGGTCAGGGGCGTCGGCGTCAAAAGGATGCGGCGCTGTGCCAGTGCCAGCCACCTTGTCTGTCGCCCGCCCTGAGCACTGCTATGTCGCGGTACGACATGGGAGGACGAGCGCGGCTCCTGACAGGAGGACAAGGGCGGCGCGTGGTTTTGGCAAAAGGCCCCCCGGTTGGGAACACGCCGACAGGCCAGCACCTGACGGGAAAGGGCGCCGTCTCCAACGGAGGAGCTGTTTTTGCAGTTCCTCTCTTCGGGTAACGTTGCCACCTAGCAGGGGTGAAACAACGGCCCACTCGGCTCGACCGCATGGCGACGTGGGTGACGCTGGCCAATGGCGGGCGCGCTGTCGGGGCGCACGCGGGCACCAGCGCTGCTTGCGCGCTGCTGTTGCGTAGTTTGCGCAGTTGCCATAATTATTGGAAATACAGCGGTGTCTCCAAGGGCCTGGACGCGAACGATGCGGTGGTGCGAGGAGTTTGATCGACGAAAGCGTGCTGCTCAGGCTCGGCGGCGCGCGGAACGGCGGGTGCATCATGGCTTGCAGTCATCTCCGCGATGCCGATTGCCTGCCTCATCCGCAACCCCCGCTGCCATCACATCACACTCGCCGCCGGCGCCCGTGCGTATTGCCTCCTGTTCCACCCCGACACACACACAGACACACACACACACACACACACACGCACGCACGCACGCACGCACGGCACAACAAACACGCACACCCACCCACCCACCCACACACCCACACACCGACAATCCCCATGCGCACACACACGCACACACACACAAACACACAATCACACACACACACACACACGCACGCACCCACACCCACACAGCCACACACACACACACCCACACACCCCAACACCCTCACACACACAATCACACACACACACGCACACCACACCCACACACCCACACACACACACAGACACCCACACACGCTCTCACGCACACGCGCACACACACACACCACATCCACACACCCACACAAACAGACCTACACACCCATACACACATACCAACACAACCATTCACGCACACACACACACACAGACACGCGCACCCACACACCCACACCACACACACACACATGCACCACCACCCACACACCCAAACCCACACACTCACACCCCCACGCACCCAAACACCCATACACTCATACACCCACACACCCAGACACACCCACACCCACCCAGAGCCCACACACACAGATTCACACACACACAAACACACACACACACACACGCACACGCACACGCACGCGCACGCGCACGCGCACGCGCACGCGCACGCGCACGCGCACGCGCACGCGCACGCGCACGCGCACGCGCACGCGCATGCGCATGCGCACGCGCACGCACGCACACACACACACACCAACACACGCACACTCACGCTCACACGTTCACACGTTCACACGTTCACACGCACACGCGCACACACCACAACACCCACGCACCCACACACCCACCACCACCACCGCCCACCACCACCACCACCACCACCACCACCACCAACCGCCACCACCACCACCACCACCACCGCCGCCACCGCCACCCACTGATTGCAAACTCTGCGTTCGAGCCTCGCCCTGGGGATCCGATGTCACTCCCGACCTGCGGGCTTATTTCGGCGGGCTCCCTGCGGGCCCTCGCCGTGTTGGCCGTCGAGACAAGATGATGAGATGAAGGTGGCATGGAGGATGCCGAGAAGCTTGCGGTCACTGATTGCGAACTCTGCGTGTAAGCTGCGCCCTGGGGGGGGCCGCCGTCACTCCCGCTCTGCGGGTCCAAGAACTGGCCATCGCTCGGACGTCCATTCTCCCTACACTTTTCCGCTGTCGTGCGTTTCCCCACGATGATCCAAGATGCTCCTGGCGGCGCCTCCAGCGCCGCCCATGGCGCCGCCAGGAGCGCGCCAGGGCGGGGGGTCCAGCGTGGATCCGAGAGATCCGCGCGGACCTCCGAGTTGTTCTGCTCACGTCATTCTTCGTTCCCCCACAGCCGTCCTAAGATGTCGGAGCCCCACGCCGATCCCTCGTGGATTGGCCCTGGACCTCCTGCCCCTGGGCGCGCGGCCAGAGAGGCCGCCCGCCGGGGGAGCCCGGCGCCGACGCCAGAAACGCGCGCGGGATGCAGCGAATGGTCACAGTCAGGTCGGGCATGTTCTCCTGCAGGCGGATTCTTGGACGAACAATGAAAACGAGTCTAAGCATGTGCAAAAACAATTGAAAATAGTAAAACAAATCGTCCCCAGACTATGTTAGAAAACATTTGTTTGATATTCCTCCTGTAGAGGGACAGGCCCGACATAAGGTTACAGCCAGCCCGTATCATAAGGATGCACCGTAACGATGCAAGGGCCCTGGAGGCCCATGGGAACGTTCTGAGGATGCAAGGGCCCAGGAGGCCCATGGGAACGTTTTTCGAACGAGGCTGGCCAGCGAACGTCGCTGAGGAAGGGCGCTGGACAAGCAGAGGCGCGACAGCGGGTCACTGTTCGGACGCTGGTGCAGCACCGAAGGAGTGAAACCCCGCAATGGCTCGCCCCAAGATCGGGGATCTTCTGACCCGGGTCAATCCAGACCTGGGTCAATCAGGTCTTGCAAAATCCTGTAAGATCCTGCGCCCACACCCGGGTCAATGCGAAAGATTCTGCAAGATCCTGCAGCATCCTGCACCCAATGCCGGGTCAATGCTGCATAATCGGGCGCTCTGGCTGACCCCCGTTTGCATTGACTCCCGTCTCAAGGCTCCCGACAAAAGGGCGGCAATCCGCTGCCGGCAATCGCGAAGCGACCGTGCGCACCCAGTACAATGGAGACGGGCCGCAGCAGCAGCTACAGCAGCAGCGGCCTTGGAGGCCCATGTGGACGCTTCTCGAACGAGGCTGGCCAGCGAAAGTCGCCAAGGATGGGCCGAAGGGGAAAGGATCCAAGGGTACCCGTGGGAAGGTTGCCCAGTCTTGCGATGCGGGGTGACTGTATGTTCAGGCGTGTGTATTTCTTATTCACTTCCATTATATGTTCACTCAGCGCATGGGGCTGCGTGCCACAGGCTTGAGTACACAGGTGATGCGTGACCCGTCGCTGCGTCGGTGAATTCTGTTGTCCTGTCCTGTCGGCTATGCAGGATGGCGCGCGCGAGCGGTGCTGCTACACAAACACGCGTGGCCGAGGCAAGTTGCAGGCGACGAGCCCCCGCCATGTTCTGGAAAGTGCTCACAGCGAGGAGACGCGACCGCACTGACGAAGCTCCCCGGCCCACGCGCCTGGTGGAAAACACACAGTAGGAACTCGACCACAAGAAACCTTCCACGAGAAACCCGATCCTGAGACCCAAGGACGTCCAGCGATTTTTGGTTTGGGAATGTCACGCTGTCCACAGCAAAACCATCGAACCCCAAGAAGCCCAGGGCACCCTGGAGGCAAGCAAGGTGTTATTTGGTACGGGTTTTCACTGTATCAGACAAAGAGCGCCCGCAGCGCAGCAAACCTCCTGCTGGGGGCCCGCGCCCGAATCTCGAAGAGACGGGTCGCCCCCTCCCGGCCAAACTCCTCCCCGACGCTGGGAATTGAGAGCGCCGAGAACAAAACAGTTTACTCGCCGCGACGAGGGAGAGGAGGAGAAGACCCCTGGAGCGGGCCCCAAAGCTTGGCAGGAAGAAGAAGAAGAAGAAGTAGAAGAAGAAACAAACATAGGAGGAATAATAAACAAAATAAGAAAGAGGAGGAGGAAGATGAGGTGGAGGAGGAGGGGAATGAAGACCCCAACACCAGGGAAACAAACAGGTACATAAACATGACAACACTGAGGTCCGCGTGGGTTTCTCGGATCGGTGCTGGACCCCCGCGGCAACGCCTCCAGCGCCGCTCCTGGCGCGCTCCGCGCGCCAGGGAGGGGGGTCCAGAATCCGCGCGGCTCTTCGAATGTGTATATCTATGTCATTGTCTGTTCCCCTACGTCAGGCGTGTCGTGCCGACTTCGGCGTTGGTTTCTGACACCGCGGGGATCGTTCAACCTTGAACGATCGGCCGTTTCCGAAACGTCCAAATCGTTAAACATCGAACGATTCGGGGTCGCCCGCGGCGTTCAACATTGAATGCCAGCGGGGGGGTCGCCGCCGGTCGACACGACACGAACCTACCGCACCCCTGGCACATTCGCGCTGGCTTTCATGGCCTGATCGGGCTCCCCCCCTTCTCCCGAGCGAAGTGAACCCCGCCCTCTCCCTCAGAAGTCGTGGGGGGGGGGTAGGGGTAGGGTTCGCATGTGGTCCCCTACCCTTTGCCTTCCCCGCCTCTCTCCTCTTCGCTTCTGTCTGCTCCGCTTCCGGTGCGTGTCCCGCCGCTCGCTGACTGGCGCCTGACCTTCCCTGACCGCACTTGGCGCCCGCGGGCCCCAACCTCAGATCGGGCTTGTCCTCCTGCAGGCTACAGGGAGATTTCGGCCGAAAAATTAAAAAGACAGTCCACAAATACTCAAACGTAGTCGAAAACATAATAGCAAAAGCGCACCCGGACTATGTCGTGACTGCTTTGGAACGTTCCTCCTGTAGAGGGACAGGCCCGACTTCACCCCAACCTGTTCCCCCCCGCCCCCCCCTCTCGGGGGCGGCCAAGAGGGGTGCGTCCAAAGGGGGGGGGGCCACCGTGACCGGCGGCATGTGCGCGGCCCCGGGGGGGGGGGGGCTGGGGACGTACTGAACTGAGAATTGGCGCCGTGAGATCTGAGGAAATGTCATGGCCCACGCCATGAGATCCCACGCCCCACCCCCCTAATCTTGTGTTGTTTCCATCGCCCGAACAGGCCGACATGTGCAAATAGATCCGGATACGAAACTGATGCGATCTCGATACGAAGGAGGAATACACAACTGATACGATTTCAATACGAACCTGACACGGCTTCTACACCACCACTATGCACACGCATTCATATATCATGCGATAAGCTTCCAAACCCAATTAAACCAGACCAATGTGTGTTACACGGAGCGGCCAGAACAGACGCCGTGAACATTGCCCTCTTTCCCGCCCGCCCCCCTCTTTCCCGCCCGCCCCCCTCCTGAATCAGCGGGCTCCAGCTCTGGCAGAGCAGCGCCGCCGGGCAGGCGGCCACCCCTGGCAGGCGGGGGGGCGCTGCCCACCGACGGCCAGGAGGGCGCTCGCTCGCTCGGTGCCCCGCTGCCCCGCCCTCCAGTCGACGTCGCGCACAGCGAGCAGACCAAGTCGCTCGTCAGGTCGCCTCGTCGATGCCTCGTCGATGCAGCGCGATCCTCCCATCCCGGCTCCCGTGACAACTGCTAGCAAGGATGCGCGATAGGGACGCCAGGGCCTTGGGCGCCCACGTCGAAGCTTTTCGAGCCTGGCCGTCGAAAGCGGTTCAGGATGGACCGACGAGGCAAGGATGCACGGGTACCTTGGGAAGGTCACACACCGCACATTCTTCTCATCGGTTCCGACTGCACTCCGACCATATTTGGGAGGCCTCTGGACGAGGACGAGGAGGACCCAGAGATCCGGGCGCTGCAACTTTTCACACGGGGCGCCCTCGCCCGGCTTCGGGCCCCAGGACCATCACAGCTCGATCCGGGTCGAAACACGCCGCCCACAAACGTGCAGTTTCGTTTACAACGTCGGATCTCAGTGTTCACGGAGCGTCCACACGGATCGGAGCCCTGCGGCTGCCGCCGTTGGCACCGCCTCTGGGTCCCACTGTCTGCAGGGGTGGACGACGCCCTCTTCCTCTGCCTCGCGAGCCACTGCGTCGAAGCTCAGTGGCCGGCCCCACCTCGGGGGCAGCTTGAAAGTGAAAGGGAATCGTGGCAGCCACAGCGGCAGGAGGAGGAGACGGACGCTCAATACCACGAGGAGGACCAAGCGGAGCAGGCAGGGGGATCGAAGGAGTGGGGATATCTGCCCGGCCAGACCGAGGCAACGACGACGTCGAAGACACCGCGGCCGCCGACGATGACGATGCCGACGACGGACGACGGACGACGACGAACAACGAAGAACGACGACCACGCCGACGACGCCGTGAAAGAACGACGACGACGACGTCGACTGACGGGGAGCGTTATCGGCTTGGCCACCCGTACTCAAACTGGAATCATGTTGCAGTCAGCGCATCAGACTGGGCAATCCAGCAAACATGGTAGGCAATCGATGTACGGTGGTCCGACTTACTGTCGAACACGATATGACTAACCCCAACAAGTCTTATAACCACCCCCCGGGCAATAATGGGAAAAACAATAATTGTTCCGCCGGCTTATTGACGGATTGGGACCCCGACAATAGTTGGAAATTAATTATTCTCGTCGGCGGATGCATGAGAGGTCATGAGAAGTGCTCAACAATCCCATCGCTCAACGCGTCGTCGTCGTCGTCGTCGTCCTCCCTCCTCCTCGAGTCTACGAAACGGAGCCCAGAACAGGGGGGGGGAGGAGGAGGAGGAGGAGGAGGAGGAGGAGGAGGAGGAGGAGGAGGAGGAGGAGGAGGAGGAGGAGGAGGAGGAGGAGGAGGAGAGACGGGAAAGGGGAGGGAGAGGGGGAGGAGGAGACGGAGGAGGAGGAGGAGGACGAGGAGGAGGAGGACGGAGGGGAAGGAGGAGGGAGGGGAAGGAGGAGGAGGAGGAGGAGGGACGAGTTTCTATTCCCCGCCGAGAGCTTAGGGGGGGGGCGGCATCATTAAAAACCCTCTGCGGTTACAGATACCGGATTTGTCTACGCAATGTCGAAAATCAAAAGCTTCGACGGCCAAGGGGGGACACATCGAGCTCGAATCGGCGATACATAGCGGATAGAGCGGCGAGAAGCCCCGGATGATTAGCGAACCTGCATGGCCTTGGGCGTGGTGGGCCATCGGGCGATCGGGGGTCGATGCGTCCCCCCTGAGCCCATCCTCACCCGAACGCTGCCCCTGATCGACGCCGGCGAACGACCCCTAATTACGTCGACGACGAGAGGCGAACGGCGCCAACGCAAAGCGATCGACGATCGACGGCAACGCTGGCGACACGATAAATTTCGGGCCCCTCAAGCAGTGTGGTGACGGATCGCATGGTGACCTCGGAACCCTCATCGACCTCACTGCGAGGTACGTCACCGCACGGTCTTGGGACCCCAGAATCCCAGGTCGCCTGACACGTCCTCGGAGAACAACCCGAGTCCCAAAACCGCTCACCGCACCGTCTGGGGGTCCCCCTGAACTATCTCCTCCACCCAACGGTCCTCCACCCCCCCAACCGTGACGGGGTCACCGCCTGGTTGTGTGACTCCTGGACCCACCAACGTTTGGGACATCCTCGGAAAACCGCACGAATCCCCAGATCGCCCGAGACTCACCGCCGGGTGTTGTCACAACCTCGTTTGGCATAAACTGTCGGCCATCACCGCAAGTTAGAAGAAACAACTGCGTAAACATAAACTGTTGGCGCGCCGCCCCGATTTCTTAGATCTGCGCTGGACTCCGCCGCCCAGCGCGGATCCAAGGAATCCGCGCGGAGCGCCTAAAGTCGATGTTTACGGCCTGTTTTTCTTCTTCGACGGAGTGGGGACCCCCGAGACAAGAACTGGTGACCCCCAAACCACGTGGTGAGATATCATCGGTGACCTGGAATCCCCAGAAAACTACCGCCGGGTTTGGTACACCGGGTCACCGCCGAGACTTGTGACTTTTGGACCCACCAACGTTCGGGACATCCTCGGAAAACCACACGAATCCCCAAATCACGCCCGAGACTCATTGCCGGGTGTTGTCACCATCACTGTGGGGACTCTGGACCCCGCCGCCTAGCGCGGATCCAAGAAATCCGCGCGGAGCGCCAAAAGTTTATGCTTATGGTGTTTTTTCTTCTTCGACAGAGTGGGGACCCCCGAGACAGGAATTGGTAGCCCCCACGCCACGTGGTGAGACATCAAGTGATGACCTGGATTCCCCAACAAAACCACCGTTGGGTTTGGGAACGCGGGGGCACCGCCGGGTCTTGCGACTCCTGGACCCACCAGCGTTCGGGGCATCGGGAACCCACACGAGTCCCGAAATCACCCGAGACTCTTTGGGTGACCCAAAAGGAGGTCCAAATAAAACGGAGTTGTGAAATAGATTTGCGCTGGAGAACTGTATTGCGGTGTATTACAAGTAATGCATTGCACGCGAAAATACAGCAATACACGTAAGCCTCGGGAGGTATTGCACGCCCCAGATGCGTTGCCACTCCACAAATCTTTTGCACCAAATCTATTGCACCAACCCCTTGTCACTGGACCCCCAGTTGGTTCAACCCGAGACTCACGGCCGGGTGTGGTCACCACCACGCTTGGGACTCCCAAAGAAGAAACGCGCCTGCGGCCGCGAAGGCGGCGCCGGGGCGGCCGGCCCCGGCGGCGGCGGCCCCCCAGGCCTCGAGCGCGGAGGGCCGACGCCGCAGCCGCTGCCGTCCCTCGCCGCTGCGGCTCGCGCCCCTGCCCGCCTGGGTACGGGGGCCAGCGCCACCCTCGGGAGGCAGCTTCTGGGAGCTCCTCCTGCTGCTCCTCCTCCTCCTCCTCCTGCTCCTCCATCTCCTTCTCCTCCTCCTGCTCCTCCTCCTCCTCCTCCTCCTCTCCTCCTCCTCCTCCTGCTCCACCTCCTCCTCCTCCTCCTCCTCCTCTCCTCCTCCTGCTCCTCCTCCTCCTCCTCCTCCTCTCCTCCTCCTCATCCTCCTCCTCGTCTCCCTCCTCCTCTACCTTCTCTGTACCTCCTCCTCCTCCTCCTCCTCCTCCTCCTCCTCCTCCTTTTCCTCCTCCTCCCGTCCTCGCCGCTGTGCCTCGTCGCCCCTGCCCAAGTACGGTGGCCAGCGCCCCCCCCCTCGGGAGGCAACTTCTGTGAGGCCTGCGTGAGGGCGACTGACAGCCGAATGGCCCCTTGAGGGGTAACGATAGGAGGGGATAGGCGCAGGGGGGATGCATCGACCTGGAATCGGCGATCTATCGTCGATGCATCGGCGATAGCCCCCCGATAGTGAAGCCGCACCTTCCTGGACGGGGTGGGGCTATCGGGTCCCTATCGGCGATCAGTGGGCGATTGGG